GTGGTGCCGCTGGTGCGACTTCGCTCTGTTTCGTGTATCCTCTCGACTTCGCCAGAACGAGGCTGGCTGCAGACATCGGCAAGGGCACAGCAGAGAGAGAGTTCACTGGTCTTGGAAACTGTATTGCCAAGATCTTCAAAACCGATGGGCTCAAGGGTCTTTACCTCGGATTCAACGTGTCAGTGCAGGGTATTATTATCTACAGAGCGGCCTACTTTGGATGCTTCGACACGGCTAAAGGTGCGCACAGCTGTGACACTAGAATGTATTAACAGTGTACATGTGCATTTTACACGTGGGTGACTTAACTTGTGCTTCTTATAGGTATGCTGCCAGATCCCAAGAACACGCACATCATCGTCAGCTGGATGATCGCCCAAACCGTCACTGCTGTAGCTGGTCTCATCTCATACCCCTTCGATACAGTCAGACGTCGTATGATGATGCAGTCTGGACGCAAAGGAGGTGAAACCATGTTCGATTCGTTTGGCCCAGTTATTGCACAGTTATTAAGCATTCATGTGAGGGCATTATGCAACATTATTTATGTCAGTTTTCTTCTTCTTATCTTTATATTTCCAAAGCTGACATCATGTACAAGGGCACAATCGACTGCTGGAAGAAGATCATCAAGGACGAGGGACCAAAAGCCTTCTTCAAAGGTGCCTGGTCTAATGTGATCAGAGGCATGGGTGGTGCCTTTGTGCTGGTGCTTTACGATGAGTTCAAGAAGTTGGCATACTAAACTTTCAACCAATCCCCAAGGAAACCCTTTACTTTGTTTAAGTCTTATTTCTGGTGATACAGTGATAACAGCTTGGTGAATTTACAGTGTGGGCGTCTACAGTATGACAGCCCAGGTAAGGAGGGTGGGTGAACCAAAAGTGTATATATCCCATCTAGGACATGCCAACAGGCAGTCGTTCAGTAAAAGTCAAGCAGGTGGAGATTTTGTGATGACGCACATGATGATGTCACTTCAGGTCATGCTTCCCATGTTAGTAAGTTTGTGAAGCAAGTTGAGGAGACCCATGTGTTATGCTGTGACCACTCTGATCCTCATAAATTATTTTATTAAGAATAAAAACGTATTATTCTAACAGTCCAGTCTTTTTGATAAATGCACTGTTGTCACAGTCTTGTTGGTTTTCAAATTAGATTTTCTGTTTAACTCTCCACACGGACACCAAGCCAACATACACAATGCTTCAGAAGTGAAGCAGCAAAGTGCGACTTTTCGATTTATTATTTACACCCATTTTTTTCTGCTGTCCCATCAATTCTCTTCCATGATAAAAGCTAATAAATGCATCTTCCAGCAAGAATGTTTTGAACAAAACTTGCATCTTTAAAGATGCAAAACAGCATACTAACAGCTTTAGTTAACAGGAAACAGAATAAATATAAACAAGTAAACCTTTAAATAACTTAAAAACACAATTTTTTGTGTATCCTTTTTAATCAAGCAATGTAAAAAAAAGGTTACATTTATAGGAACTGAAATTCAGTCATAATAAACAATAATTTGTACATTTATACCTTCAACAAAACAATATCTTCTGCTTGTGCAGCTAACTTCGGTACTGCGACACTGCTGTGGAAGCCACACATACCATATTTCAGATTCAAAGAAAATGTTTATAATGGATAAGCATGGTTACACGAAAATCACTGAAGAGTTGATTATGCCAGATGAAAGTATGCTGAACACATTTATGTGACAAGAACCTTTGAACTTTGTTCCTTTTTTAATATTTTGCGATGCAAAGATATCAACTGAATATGGATAACAGAAACCAGATTTTAGCAGATTAAATGTTAAGCAGCGCTCTCAGCACCATGCTGCCCGGGCTGCACCTGTTTTTTTTGATCTGGGTGAAGGTCTGCTGCTGGAGTCAGTGGAGGGGAGTGATGCCCTGGAGTTGACTGACCTGGGACCTGCTGGATAACAGAAACATGCTCTCTGATTACAGGCTTATCATTACAGTTTAATCAGAAAATAACACAACTTTAAAAATCATTAATACACTGCTAAGAAAATATGTACATATTTGAAATTGTTATTAAAAACAATCAGGCAAACACATACACACATGTGTTTTATGACAGTTGGAATCTGTTATTGGTTAATTATTTCAAATGTTATTTTAACACCAGGAAGCAACAATGAAACACAAACATTAAAAAGACAAAAAGGTGTTAAGAGGAGAAACAGTTTGTCAGTTACTGAGCCATGAAATTCATTTCATAGCAGTGTTAAGAGCTGCTTCTTACAGTCTTCTCGTTCTCTTTAATCCAGTCTTTGCAACCATCTGGAGATAAATTTGCAGCCGTCAGTTTGACAAGAGTGCGTACCACATGCTAATGCCTTTTTCTACCTTAATTAATGCAACACAAGCAAATAACAGCAGGCTTCTCCAAAATGTCTCCCCACACACACTCCTGCAGGTGGTGTGCTTGTTGAACAAAAACACTGAAGTCTGCATGCAAATTTATTATTTATTATTAATATTCTGTAGCTGTGCTTTAATTGCAGTATGATAAACTGTAACTGGAGGAGGATATAGCATGTACTAGAAGGTACATATCTGTTATCTAAACCAAAGTACTTAAAATTAAAATTGTTGGAAAACAGCCAAAGATGTAAGACACCAACCGGAGGTAGTCCTGCTGCTAGATCGATCTTTCTTTGTGGTGGACCTGCAGATGGGAAATGAAGAACCTCCCAAGTATCCGGCTTGGCGCTGATAGTCTGCCAGTTGCTCTGAGCGCCTCAGGCCAGGTGTGGGCTTCACAGACTCCAGCCTCTTCAGGAAAGCCTGAGAGGAATAGAAAGATTCTTACCTCATTAATACTCCAAAAATACTGTAAAAGTAAACTGTTCCCCTACCACTGCGGGAGGTAACTACATTTAATTAGGTACTGGACCTAAGGTACTGACAGAAAAAAATACACACAGTTTGTAATATTGTATGTGATATAGACCAATGATGCCAAATATACGTCCCATCAGGCCCACTGATGTTTAGTGTAATCAGCTTGTGAAGGTTTTTGTTTTTGTTTTTTTTTAAAAAAACATTAAGTCAGTGAGATTGTTTCTTTGAAGTGCTTAACAAAAGTATTAGACCACCACCCAATGTTAGGGTTATGCCAAAGCTGCCTGAAATTAACTACTGTATTGGCAAAAATACTTTTTTTATGTTTAGGTAATGGTTAAATCAACATCAAGCTGGTGTGCAAGCTCTTTAATTAAAATAACATAAGTCTAAAATATAATAATTATTTTTCATGAACTTTTAAATTTACCATTTTACAAAAAAGCTGAAACAACAGTACATGAGTACATGATTATTTTTTGATTAACAAGCTAAATTACCGTTTGTTTGGGTTTTTTTGCAACACTCAGCAGAGAAAATGGAATATTAGGCTTGATTCATTTCAGACTTCTTTGAGAAGTCTAGTCTGCTGTTTCAAATTTCCGTATTAAACATTAATTCAGTGAATTCAGCAATTTTAAGTTTTAAACAGGTTTTCGACAGATTTCTAAAATATTTGTGTTCTTTGTTTTTAGGTGGTCAAACAGTTTAAGTGCTGTATGTCCACTTTAGATGAAACCGGGGTGACACTCTTAAGCTAAACTACGCAGCACAGTTACAGTAAATATAGATAAAACAACCTGAAATGAACACCGTGCAAAAGAAATATATGGTAAGAGTTAATTTTATTTTTTTTAATAATTTTTTTAATATTACTTTTTTATTATTTGATTTGACTGGTTTGATTATATTCATTCTTGCTCTTGGCTAGAATGAATACATAAAAAACAGCACATACACTAAACTGTATTTTAAAACAATCTACCTCTTAAGAATAAGTCACTATTTTATTAAATAAGTCAAAATTACCAGTCAACAATTTACCAACTGCTGTGCACCAGGACTTTGCAAAAGGTACACAGCAACCCCAACAAAACAGCATGAGGCAAATCAGTGTAGACAAGTGGCTAAATGTCACGCATGCACTCCCACACGCAGGGTCTGCTGTAATCTCTCAGTGAACAAAAGCTCCATATGAAGCAGTGTGATGAGGAAAAAGCTCAAGCATCACCAGACCTTCGTGCTGAAGATCAAAAGTCTTCCAGAGGGCATGAAAAGGCACTGCAGGCTTCTAAATACAGCCAGAATTACCACCTACTATATTTTTAATGTTTGCATTACAGGAGACATCTTCAATGAAAATGTACCCATTGTACTATTATTATTATTATTATTGTATATAATTTATTTGAAAGAATACTAACTGTAGAGGGTAAATGAGCACTTGAAATACACAGAAGTGGTACTACTTGTGATTGCCAGAGGTGTCTTACATGTGTGATGTGTGGGGTGTATACACTGATCACACGGGCAGATTCAATTACTAATCTCTAAGAATAGAGAAGGCGAAAAGCACTCCTGACGCAGAGAGATGGGCTCAAGAGAGAGGACAGTCTGTCCTTAAAACCATAGAAACATTCTGGCTCATAGCAGCAACAGTAGGGATCAATTTAAAATATCTAATCATTATTACAGGAACACATGAGTAAAAAAGAAGTCAGGTTTTCACTTAGTAACACCAGTGCCTTGGCTGGCTACCAATAATGAATATGTCTTTACTTCCCCATCTCCTCTTTTGAACCTGTGCTGCATGTAGACATAAAAAATGTTGCCAAGATAAGTCAGTATATGGGATGAGAGACTAAAGCTGCAGAGACTGAACTCTGTCAAATGTCAGTCTGCGGCACTGCTGCTGGCTGCCACCTGCTGCCATCTGTCCAAGTGTTTCCATGTACGTTTGCAGAGGTGGCACTCTTGGACTGACGCTAAACTCAAATCAAAACATCTCCATTCTTTATTCTCTCTATTCTGTTTTCTACTTAAAGTATTTATGAGGAAACTTCATTTTTTTCATAAAATGTTTTCTTTATGTTTCTTCAATAGTTTACTAAAGGCAACGTAAAAAACATTTTAAAAAAAAAAAGAGTAAATAATTAAAAACTAGGATGTAATACAGTAACATGTAGGCTGGTTTTCAAGGAAGTTACCAACTTGAGTAACAAGTCTAGTGGAAAAAGTCAACTTCTATAGTTACATGTTGTATTTACAGTCTCTTTAAGAATTTAAAATACAGTAAGAAAAGATTGGTTTTAGAGTAGAAACCCAAAAAGACTTATTTAGACGTCCCCTAACAAAAAATAATGCCACTCTGACTCTATCTAGCAAACTGAAAGTCATTTTTATTCTATTAATTTCACACCTATAGACATTTAGATTCAAAAAGAAAAGAAATATAATTACATTTGAATTATGAAACCTCAAAACCAGTCCTAAGGTTTCTGTTTGGGACTTTTCTGACTTACATCTTAACTTTTGGGTGATTTACATATTATTAACCTACACGATCTCACACAGAGTGACAAGCCTGTTCACAGCAACATTAAATCTCTCTGCTCTTTTTGATATCCACTCATGTTAATAATTATCTTTCTTAGTTTTGAGAACTTCTATTAGGGGTGTTGTTCTTTACAGTCTTTCTCCTCAAAACCATATTGAAGAAAGTTGCTTTCAACCATAAGCATTTTGAGATATTTGAAAAACGGGCTAATACAAATGCTGAATAAATAGTAAAATAACAAAAGAAAATACATTTTCTTATCCTTTCTAAAAATTTGTTGAAGAAAAAAAAACATGAAATTTCTTTCTACAGATTATATGTATACTGCAAGGACACAGGAGTAATTTTTTCCCCAACATTACATACTAGAATTAGTTGGGGGGGGGGAATCATCCAATTCAATACATTAGTAGGTGAAGAGGTGTACGCCTGGTGAAACTCTTCTGTTGTTTGCAAAAGACAAAGACACATAAGCAAATTAATGTCTTACCCAGTTTATCACAAATGTTTCTCTTGCTATTAACACCGCCTATTATCAAAACAATTAAGCAAATCAAGGATTGAGTTTTGACCCAAGGAGTGAAACTTACCAGGTTCTCCCGCTCAATCCGTTGCTGTTCTCGTTGCCTGTTCACTGCACTGTGAGTGAGGCGAATTCGAGGAGAGTTACTTGCCCCATGGCTTTTCTTCACTGGTGCGCTTCCCGATCTGGGACCCGGAGAGAGGCGAGACAGCTCGCGAAGTAGTCGCTGATTCTCTAAATCAATGCGCCGAACCTCGTCATTGCTGAAGGAGTAGTTTTTCCTGTTTCTCCCTCCAGGATAGTGGAAGACCAGTTTTCTTCCAAGCTGACTTTCTAAATTGAGAGAGCCTGAAAGGAAAAACAAACAGTTGTATCATCATTTGAGTTTCACATTTTGTGCTAGTGGTGGAAAATGTTCTGTTGTACTGATGCTCAGGTCAAACATCAGTACAACAGAATATCCTCTGCAAACAGCTAAAACCGCATCTTTTTCCAACTTGTTTTTGAGTCTTTGTTTTTTAGGTTTTAGTGTTTTTTTTGTTAAGAATTTCTCTATATAAATAAAATTGTACTTACTTCTGCTGCTTATATAAGTTTGGGTTCTTTGATATGAAAAACTGAATTTTTGAAGAGCCATATTCTTGAGCTACATTTCTGCAATAATATTAAGCACACTCTGTGCAAACGCCTTCTGAGCTACATTTTGAAAAACAGCAGTATGTTGAAACTAAAAGAGAAAACCTTGAGAAAGATTTTTATGTGAAGCAGAATTCAACTAAAACTCACAAATCTTTGTGTGGACAACTGTTTTCATACACGTTACAATTACTTTGGGGAAAAAAGCTGATTTACTGAACTCACGGAGGAGAAATTCTTCTGTTTTAGAGAGAGAGAGAAGCTCATATAAAGCTTACACTACACTTACCAGCTAAAATCTTTAATGAAATGCATGTTTATGCAACAATTCCTATTTGTCAGGTTTGGGGCTAAAGTGTTTTTTATAGTTAGACTGCAATTTTAAGTGTAACAAATTTTCATGTCATTTTCACCACATCAATGGACCTTTTTCATAGCTGCTATTCTGAAATGTGTTTGTAGGTTAATTATGGCCTTGTCCATAGTAATGCATGCTGTCTCACTGGAATGAGTGTGGCGTAATAAAGGAAATGTTCCCATAATACCTTTAACCAATTAAACATCTATTTACGCTTCTACGACATGTCAAAATGAGTACTGTGAAAAGAGGCCTAGGGCATAACTCCATGTGGGCTTAGAAATACAACTATTATAACTTAAAGCTCAACCATACTCACACTCATCCACATCCTGATCTGAGTCGTCATCTTGTATGTTTCTAAGACCACTGGAGGGCACACTCTCCCGCGGCTGCTCCTCTTTATGACTTTCTTCTTCGACCTCTGTGACATTCAAGTCCAATGACTGAAGAGGACTGGTGTCAGGTGAGGAGAGTGGGGTCACATCTGTCACTGAATCATCTGAGTCTGCCGTGTGGAGAACAGGAAAATCACGAGGCCTTGCTGAGCCTACTCTGGTCCTTCTTATTCCTGGACATGAAGAAGAAGTTGCACTTGGTTTCGGGAGGGCAGGGGACTCTAAGCTGCTCTTGTGACTGCTACTGCTATAGGAGCCCTCAGAGTCTGCATCTGTGCTGGTCTCAGTCGATGAAAGAGAAGGACTCTCAGACCTGCTTGGAGGAGCTGAAGGACTTTGGTTGTGCAAATTTCTAATTACTTTTTTAGGAGATTGTTTATTTCTCCTTTTAGAGCTGGCACTGAATGGTAATGCTTCTCCTTTGGTCTCTTTTGGACTCTGAATGTAAACATCTGTATTATCTACCTCTTTGGCTTCAGCCAGTAAAGCCATGAATGTTCTACTGGACCTTTTAGGTTCTAAATTGGCGCAATCTTCACTATCACTGCTTTCATTGCTGACTTTATCTGATGTAGTGGAAACTACTGCTCTACTGCTCCTATTACAGGTCTCCGCTTGCTTTAGATGTTTTCTTGTCTGATCAGTCCTTGATGACAGATCGCCATGATAATTCTCTCTGTATTTTGCATGTAACTTATCATGTGCTTTTGAGATCTTCTTCTCAGCTTTCAAACCTTTCTCCACCTTATGTTGTGCATCTGTGCTGCTTTCAGCACAATCGCTGTCGAAAAACGAGTGATCCACTTCACCTTCCAGTTCACTGGGGTTGAACATGGCGATTTCCCCTCTGCACACCTGTAATGATGTAATGTGAGATACCTAAGTAGTAATTTTTTAACCCATTTATTTAACATAACAGCTAACAACTTAGCAAAACCTGCTAGAGTGACTGCTTTCAAAGACTGAAATGATTGGCCAGGTGTCCCTCTTTATGTTGGATTGCACAGCATTTTTATCTTTTGTCCACTGTCTCACATATCGAGACAATGTTCCACATTTTATGTGGTTCTAGCTTACAAACATCCTTACAAGAAACATGGTTTAAACAGACATGTGCAAACAAGGATCCATATTGAAATACAAAATAACATTTTTAAAGTTTTTTTGCAATATAAAACGGGTAACACTGCATAAATCCATGAAAACAAGAACAAGAACAATAGGATAGTCCAGTGAACTCAGTGAAAACACACGATAGAGAAATGTTGATATGCACAAGTTACAGAACTTGAATGCATTTCTAAAGAACTGAAGATCATCACTTAAAACTGCTGTATGATCATCAACTGTATGATCAGGCTCGAGCCTGCCATGAACTGGAAACTGTTCGACCACCGGTGCCACTGTCTACAGTGAAGAGAGTTTTACATCACCATGTACCAAATTTCCCCTTTTGGGACAATTAAAGGATTATTCTATTCTATTCTATTCGACTGAGAGGGCGCCAATGAAAAAAGACGCCCCTGTTACAACATCGAAACCTTCAAGTTCAACTATTATTTGCAGCTGCCCACAGGGATAAAATAAATGCCTTCTGGAGAAGAATTTTATGGTCAGACGAGACAAACACTGAGCTATCTGGCTACAATGACAAGAGGAATGTTTGGTAGCATGAAGGCGAGGCTTTCAAACTGTAGTACCTGTCAAGTACTGTGGTATTAGCATGATGCTCTGGGGCTGTTGTGCTGCCAGTAGTAATGACACACTACACAAAGTGGATGGAATAATAAAGACAGAGGACTACCTCCAAATTCTTCAACTTCACCTCAAATCAGCAGCTAGAGGGTTCAAACTTGAACCAACTGGGTGTTCCAGCAAGATAAGCACACACTGGCTTTGGAATGGATGAAGCAGTCTAACACTAAGCTTCATTATTGGCCTTCCAATTCAAAATTTGTGGACGCTACTTAAAAGCTGTGGTCTGATAAAGGAAACCGACCGGTTTGAATGAACTCTACTAACTCTGCCAAGAAGAGTGGTCAAATACACACCCGGAATTATGCCAGAAAGTTGCTGATGACTACCAAAGATGTGTGCTCCAGGCGCAACTTGCTAAGGGACATTTAACCAAATATTAGTGGGGGTGCATGTATACACTTGAGACTACATGTATACTTTTGATGATGTGTGGATTAGAGAATCCAAATTCAAACTTATGGACCCAATACTAAAGTAATTAAAGATGTAGCTGTACAATCATTCTACCCTGGAAAAACACAAAAAATAATTAAAAGCCCCAAATTACCAAGATATTCAGGCCCATGATGTGTATGTAATCCTTTGTGTCAGATACAGTAACGGTCAGTCAATAAAAGACATCTGCATAGTTTGTGTGTGTGTGTGTGTGTGTTTTTGTTGAGGTTAGATAGTACATCTTATACTATCTTGTAGCTTTAGCAAGCTTTGTCACATATAAATAAAATCTTTGCCCCACATTTCGCTTGTTGGTCCCCCTAGAGTGGCCTCTTCAACACTTTTCTTCAGTGCAAAGACCGGGTTTCATTTAGCTTAAAGTGGCATAACAGCAAACTGTTGTGTAATCTATCCATCAGTGTGTAGCAAGCTCCAAAACACTAACACTATTGGTTATCTGTTTACCTACACTTTCAATCTCTATTACTACAATAATATAAAAATATATGCAGTAAAATGTGGTGGGTATAATGCTTTCACATGTGTTTTAACCCATAAACAACACACGTTAAGCCTGGCAGTTAACTAACGTTAATAGTAACATAGCTAACTTATCCAATTCGTTTAGTTTAGCTAACTTAAGCTCCAAGAATATCTTAGTTCTCTTACCCAACGAAAGAAGGCACGATACACCGTTTTCACGTTAGAATTGAGTTTCTTCTTAAGAAAGAATGTCAGGAATCTGAATAAATACAGAGCAAACCTGCAATAAAAACAAACTTAGCGTTAGCAGACTAAAGCTGGAGTAACACGGTGCCTGGTAACTACGCGACGTCACTTCCTGGCAACGGTCGCCCTAGGAGATCTCTGCAGTAGTTAAGAGAAGCAGTCCACTCCAGCATTTTATCGCTATGGGGGTTATCAGAGTTTGATTTATTTCATAAAAACAATAACAGCGAAAATTCAGCCGCTGATTTGCTAAATCCGATTACTTCAGTCAAAGTAAGTTAAACTGATCAAAACGAAATTTATTTTTTGGTACTGAATCTAACAATAACTCTTTGTGTTATATTTGAAGGTATTTGGGATAAAATTCAGTTAACATACAGTTTACAAAATGGTTTCTTATTGAGTAATATTAGGTAAACTTAATTTATATTGTATTTTTTCTTTCTCATGATTTTGAGTGATTGAGAAAACATATGCATTAACAAGACAAAACTGATGCAACTGATACACTGGGACAACAGAGTATATGACATATAATATGTATGTACTTGAATTTGAATCACCTTTATTCTGATTCCTATCCTTTATTTATCTTTTGTTACTTTTCCTGCCCCTTGTATTTGTTTACGCGTGTCTACTTACTAAAATATGATTAATACAATGATGCCTCTCCATGTTTTATATTTTTCACCTTTTTTCTTGAGGTTATAAGTTTTGTTCTTTATAGACAATAAAATTTACTTTACTTACTGCAATCTGGCCACCCAACTTACTGTCTGTTTTATGCAGAAAACAAACAAACAAAAAGAGAGTTGCCCTGTGTTGTGTGTTTTTATCTTTGTGCACAAATTTCTAACCTACTTAAGAAACATGTCAAGAAACAGATACTGGAGACAAACAGATGGGAGGTCATTAAGTTTCTCCTGGGGAACCATTATGCCACAGTAACTGCTCCCCCTAGTGCATCTCCATTACCAAGAAGAGGATTATCTGGAGGCGCGTCCCCTGAAATCACAATTTGTCATGGTTTTACTCTTAATAACATAATTAGACCAAGAAGTGACACACACTAATGAAATGCCGATGTCCTGGGACAATAGCACTCGGGGGAATCTGTTGTATAAACCTGTGACTGGTCACTGTCATATAATTTACATGCCAATGCAGGATGGGTAGAAATGAGGATTGAATAGGGGGGGTTTCTTTATTTGTCCCATACTCAGACAATGAAGGCATAAGTAACTGCAAATTTAGTATGAAAAAGATGAAAAAAATTAATAAATCTCTGTTTTCTTTGAAAGAAAACCACCCATTTGACTGTGACACCAAGCTAATATTGGAACTTCAGTTACGAAGAAGGAGCATTTTCCACAAATAACTTTTTCATTAACCATTTTTTTTAAACCCAAGAAACGAATACCTGCATATCCTACAAACTGAGGGTTAGTTTCAGTGAAATTTATTTTATTCATTAAAAACAGAGTTAATTTCTTTCTGTTTCAACTGTAACTTGTTTCCAAATGAATACAGAATACATATCCGTACAATGTGATGTAAGGTTTGTTCTTTAGTCGTCTTATGTAGGACTACACCAACTAATTATTTATCATATAAATAGTAATATAGTGGCACAGATTCAACAAGGTGCTGGCAACATTCCTGAGAAATTTTGGTTCATATCCTGGAAGTATTGATCAGAAGATTACACTGAGGTCATAAAAGGATGGACATGGTCAGCAGCAAAGCTCCCCACACCATTACACCACCATCTGCCTGAACTATTGACATAAGGCAGGATGGAGCCATGATTTCATGCTATTTACACCAAATTCTGACCCTACCATCCAGATGTTGCAGCAGACATCAAACTCTTCAAACTTCTTTTTTCCAATTTTGGTGAGCCTGCACGAATTGTAGTTTCCTGTTCTTAATTGACAAAAGTGGCACCCAGTGTGGTCTTCTGCTGCTGCAATCCACCTGTTTCAAAGTTCAACACATAAAAGATGCTCTTCTGCATATCTTGGTTGTCAACTTAAAGCAGTTTGATCATTCTCTTCTGGCATCAGCAACATACTTTCACTCTGAGAACTGCCACTCACTGGATAATTTCTCTTTTTCAGACCGTTCTCTGTAAACTCTATAGGTGATTGTAAAGGACCAACTTGTCTGGCACTAACAATCATGGCATAAAATCACTTGAATCACCTTTCATCCCCATGCTGATGCTCAGTTTGAACTTAAACAGGTCATCCTGTCCATGTCTACTTGCCTAAATACATTAAGTTGTTGCTATGCAACTTGCTGATTAGATATTTGTATTAACAAGCGGTTAAACAGGTATACCTAATAAAGTGACCAATGAGTGCATTGCCCTTTATGGCATTTTAGCAAGGACTCCATCTTTCATGGTAGGTTCATATGTCCACCAGGAACAAAAGGCAATGAGAAAACTGTTTAACTGTTTGAAATTAAGTAAGATCAACATATATAACTGAGCATAATTGATGAGCCTTTGTTATATTAAACCATGTCAAACAATGAAAGCACAGTAAACAACTATTTTCTTATTTCAGTACAAACATTACTTCCAACTGTAGCTGCAAGTTAATCATTTATGCAGGACTCAACCAAACCAAACCCTTTTACATTATAACACATTTTACTTCAGTTTGCAAAAGTTGACACGTGTTCATAAAGAAGGCGAGTTAGAGTGCTCCTCCATATTTCTGAACATGATTCACTGAAACGAGATCCATCTGGAAGGCTGAGGGAGCTCAGATGACCTTCGGCCTCTGAGGCAGACACAGATTATAATACGCAGTTTGATCCCAAAAGTCAGGTCCTTTCCAGCCACACCAGCCCTGGAAATATAACAGCCACACCAAGATCAGCACAGTGTGTGGGAACCTGCTTTTCAGACTAAGAATTGCTGGCGGTGTGAATGCTTTTCTGTTACCTTGTCTGTGATAACCTGCAAGTCCTCAGCTCCAGTGTAATGAGGATCTAGGATGAGGTAGCGGATCTGCCCTGTGGTCTCACTCCAAGCCACACCCAGGATAGTGTGAGCTAAAACGCCTCCTCCTGCAACACAGAGCAAACAGCAATGTAAGTTTGAACAACCTTTGTCTATGTTAGCTATCAACAGTACAGGCTTCTGAAAATAGTCAGCTCCCTCCTTTTCCAAATCCAAAATCAATAGAGTACAATTCATATTTTTGGGCCAATTAGTAAAATTCTTAAGATGTCGACTGTACGCACAAATCCTGGAAATGATAGCAGGCTCTGGTTTTCTTCGAGCTTTTGTGGTGATGTGACTTTAAAAAAAAAAATGTTTTAATGTTTATTTGTGGTGTTTATAGTGAGTTTTATGTTGTCCTGCACTGACAGCAAAATTCATGACAAATTTCCACTACTTTGTAATGGAAATGAAGTTTATTGATTCTGATTTTGAATATAATGAACTCCCTTCTTTACCAAATCCAAAATCAATAAGCTGCCAATTAAAACAAACAAAAAAATCCTGGGAATGATAGTGGGCTTCTGCTTCTCTTTGGGTTTTTGCGGTGAGGTAACTTTTCTATATTTGGATAATGAATTATAAAAATAAGGCTTATCATAAAAAAATATCAAGAATACAAAGTTTCTGCGAGGTCATAAAATTAATGTAACTATAACAGTTTGAAAGTGAGCTCACCAATCATGACTGGAGTTCCTTCAGTGAGGAAGTGGTTGGCCAGTTCTCGGCCTTTGGACGCCAGCTCAGCTCCCTGACTACAGAGAAGGCAGATTAGTTGTCAGATATATTAAAATCATCCACAAACACATAATCATTCACAAGAAATGCAATCCCACCTCACAAACAGGATCTTGGAAGTGAGCCCAAGCAAATGACCCAGAACAGCCTGAACCTCAATGGATCCAATCCACTGACGTGACCCGACGAAGGATGCCTGCTTGTCTCCAACATCCACTAAAGCCTGGAAAGCAGAGAACCAGGCAGCTTGGACATGTCTGATAACATTGTAAAAAAAAAGAAAAAAAAAAAAGAGGAAATGTGGGCATATCTTGTACTCTGATCATATTTTATAGGGCAACTACCTGCTGGATCTCCTTGTGAGTGGGCACAGGCCGCTCTACGTAACCCTGCTGCTGGAACCACGAGCAGATAGTCTGCAGGGAGCGATAAGCACAGCCCCAGCCGTTGTCATCTACACGGTCCTGCATGTAGTGGTGATAGCTGTAGATCCCCTGGACCAAGTACACCTTGAGAAAAGAAAGAAAATTCTTGCTGTGTTCATCTATTTCTGCAAAAGAGCAGAATACTGTTAAGGATTTAAAAATAAGTAATTAGATATACCTTTCCATTATCTAGGGTAGGGTGCGTGAGAGCCAGATGAGGGTTTCGGAGATAACCATCTTTGTAGGGCTCATTGGGAAAGTGGTAAGCGTTGGCTCTTCTGAAGTAAGGCCTGTCATCTGGTAGCTCAAACTGCTCATGCAGCTCCTATTCAGACAAAATAAAGTTTCAAGGAAAGGTCATTAATTTTTTTCCCCCTTTCTTTAAACAAGAAAGCACAAGTTGAACTCATTAATAATAATAATAATAATAATAATAATAATAATAATAATACATTTTATTTGAAAGCGCCTTTCAAAACATTCAAGGTCGCTGTACACAGTAGAATAAAAGCAACATAAAAGCAAGAAGTTTACAGAATCATAAAAGCATAAGACATAAACAAATAAAATAGGAGAGTGGAAAGGTTATGTGGGATAAGCTATTTTGTACAAGTGGGTTTTGAGTTTGGACTTAAAGAGAGAGAAGGAAGAGATGTTTCTTAAATCAGGGGGTAGGGAATTCCAGAGTCGTGGAGCAGAGCCGCTGAAAGCCCTGCTGCCCATGGTTGCAAGACGGGGGGAAGGGACGGAGAGTGAAAGGGAAGAAGAAGATCTGAGACAACGAGATGGGGCGGTGATCTTAACCAGGTCAGAGAGATATGGAGGAGAGAGATGATGAATAGCCTTAAATGTGTACAAGAGTATTTTGAAATTGATGCGATATTTGACCGGGAGCCAATGAAGCTGCTGCAGACAGGACAGGAGTGAT